TATATCACTGATTGAGTATCTGACACCTAATACCCCGCCCTTACTCAGATTTCTCCATTTGTCCAAGCAATGTTTTTTATAGCTTTGTTTTGTTTGTTTGTTTGTTTGTTTAAATCCAGGGTCCCCTGAAGGATTCCTCATTACATATAGTTGTCATGTCTGTTTAGTTTTTTAAAACACTTACCTGCTTTGGTTTCCTCCTGATCTTTACCCTCATTCTTGAGCCTTTACTTTTCTTGTCCACTTTGCTTTTTCACCTTTTAAGACAGAGTTTCAATACTACTGCATTCCGGTCCCCGCAGGCGTCAGCCAGCCTTAAAGAGCAGAATGGATCTTGACGTGGTTAACATGTTTGTGATTGCGGGCGGGACGCTGGCCATCCCAATCCTGGCATTTGTGGCCTCATTTCTCCTGTGGCCTTCTGCACTGATAAGAATCTATTACTGGTAAGTTAATTTTGTAATTGACATTTGTGAGATTAGCATAATATTGTCATCTTCTCTGCTTGTCCCTTTTGTTGTTATTGCTCAACGTTTTATCATAGAATATTCCAAACATACAGAAAAGTTAAAAGACAGTCATCCTCTTTTGAATTTTGAACATGTTCTTGAGGAATTGGTGGTAGCTTATCACCAGGTAAGTTCTTTAAGGGTTCTGATAGCATCTTCGCCCACCCACACTCCCAACTCACTGATTCTGTCTTTAAGCAAGGATTATGCATGTTTATGGGAACTCCTTTGGTACTTTCTTGGTCATTGGATTCTGACCCTGTGATGTCCTGACAGGTGCAGTGATGTCACTAAAAAATGAATTAAAAAGAACAGGGCCATTGGGATGGCATATGTAGGACAGAATGCGTTTAGAGTCATTCTAGAAGTATTCATTAGCAAAGTGACAAAAAGAAAAAGAAGTTTCCAAAATACGTCATTCTTGTACCACCTTTATGATTCGTGCCCTATCTACGTACCACCTGTCCTTTTCTTCTGTATTTCCTTTAGAGTGAGTCACCTTTTTTAAACCTTAAATCAGTTTATCTAAAAAGTGATATAAATATCACAACCTTAAGTGGAAAGCTTGCCATACTTGCCATAAATAGCAAATTAATTTTTAAAAGTAAAAATAAACACAATGGCATTAAACAATCTCACTGAATTCTAGCCTAGATACTGTTGCCTACCAAAGGCTCTGAGTCTCCTTTCTCTTTGTTACAAATTGTAAGAAAGGCCTGGAAGATGTCACGGCCTTGAGCAGACCCTTTCTCCTTGATGGAATCAGAAAGTTAACAGTTGAACAGAAAGTGACTTTCTCAGGATGTGCTTCACTGACTTTTCATGTCACTGTCCATTAATCAAATAAAACCACCCCTCCTACCCCGTGGTATGCGTCCCCTGGTGACGGGAATACCGAAATTGGCCCGGTTGCTCTTGGTGCCGGATGTAAGCCCATTGAGATTTAACTGGAGTTAAATTTAACTGAGATTTAACTGAGATTTCCAGGAGTTAGAACTCACTTCTGCACCCAGAGAGAAGAGTGCGGGGAGGCTGTGGTGCCCTTTATCTGCCCTCCTTTCTGGCTGCCATTTGTTTCACTAGAGTGTGGAATTTTCCACCTGCCAGCCAGGCTCCAATCCTTGAAAATAAGCTAATTGAATGGAAGGGAGCTTTTCATCTTTCACTCTTGCTCTCCGGTTGTGGAATGTGTGTGACCCCTTTAGGGAGTCACCCAGGACCCACCTTCTGCACTGACAAAGCCGAGACTCCAGCCGCTTAAATGCCATTGCCCTTGCGGTGCTGGTAGCAGGGGTTCTTGTGATTTGGGGGCCACGGCTCCTGGATAGCCCCTGACATGGAGAGGCCACAGATGTGTGCCCCTCGTCGTGGCCCTGCTGAGGCATCACGGACCTCCACACACAGATGCCGTCTTTATTAACTAAGTCAAACTGAAGCCGAGAATGCAATTCACTGAGATGGCCCGTAACCATGGATATGGCTGCATATGGAGGTGTGATTATATAAAGGCTAATTCCGCCCACCTCATGGAGAAACCAGCCTCAATGCTGCAAAGTCCTCCAACCCCCAAGTTCCTTGGGTTGTTGAGGAGAAGACTTTCTGAGTCAGGGTGTTAGAGTAGTTTTGATATTTGATTTTTAAAGAGAAAAGTAAGTTCATAGCAAGTAATTTACCTTTTTATTAAGTTAAAATTCACATGACATAAAATTCACCATTTTAAAGTATACCATTCAGTGGTTTTAATATATTCGCAGTGTTGTGCAGCTACTATCTAATTTCTGAATGTCTCCATTTGTCCCAAGGAACCCCTATGGTAGCAGTCACTCTCAGTTTCTCCCTCCCTCATACCCTGGCAACCTCTAATCAATCTACTTTCTGTCTCTTTGGATTTGTCTATTATGGACATTTCATATAAATGGGATCATACAATATGTGACCTTTGTGTCTGGTTTCTTTCACTCAGCATAACGTTTTCAGGGTTTATCCATGTTGTAGCGTGTGTCAGTACATCATTCATTCTTATGGTTGAATAGTATTCCATTGTATGGTTATACCACACTTTGTCTATCTGTTTATCTGTTGATGGACACTTGGATTGCTTCTGCATTTTGGCCATTATGAATAATGCTGCATAGCAAATAATTTATTTTTATTAACAAATAGATACCACAAAAAAAAAAACAAAACCCAGAGAGGCCCCACAGATCAGAGCATTCAGTCCCTCATTAACTGGTAGCACAGATGCATGTGATCTTAAAGCCTGCCCATGCCTGTCACCCAGCTCTGAGCTGTGGCTGAAAGACAAACACAGTGCTCTTTATTTTGTGAACTCAGGCACACGGGCCAAAGAATAAAACCCAGCTGGCTGGGGAGGATGAAAACCCTAGAAAACCTTTCAGCTTATGCCAGGTGGCATTGTGACATGGGGGATTATGATTATCGTAATAGAACCCATGATGCCATTGCAGAGAGCTGTCAGAAAGCCTGTGAGTGGCGTCCTCTGCCCCACTGAAACGCACAGTCTGTTTCCTCCTAGTTGCCTCCCTGCAAGTGACATTTACACAATGGTTGCCGTAGGACGAGCAACTTTACCATGAGTCATTTATATCCCTGGCCACAGCCACTCCTCCAAAGGCCTTCCTTTGCTCGGTTGCCAATAATGACCACCAGTGGAGTCACCTTGACCCTGGGTGGGTCAGGTTAATTTTCAGGATTGCTACACAAACAGGAACAGCAGGCAGTAGAGGCAGCCTGGCACGCAGCCCCCTCCCCTGCTGCCATGCCATATGGTGAAATTACCACATGGTGCATGTTCCTGGAGTTCCCTCTGAGAGATCTCATCTCCTCGGGGAACAGGAGCCGGTGTCCCCTGTAGGCCACAGCCAGTCTTCAGAGCAGCTCTCTCTGGGTCTAAGTGTGCCTGGAGCACGGCCAGCTTGTTTCCACAGCAATGTGGACTGTGGTTGCTCCTGCAGGAGGCACCAAATGCTTCACCCTGAGTCTACAGAAAGCCACAACTGGGGATGCTGTGGCCACTGTGGAGGGAATCCGGGGCAGCTCAGGTTTTCATCGTGTAATGAAATATTAAGACTGTTCACAGGATGAAAAAGACCGAGATTTTCTGAGTTTTGTTTTCCCAAAGAAACTCAATTGTGAAATCAAGAAACATAGCAGGCAATTCACTTATATAAATATAAGAGAGAAAAGGGAGTGAGAATTGGAAAAGAAGACATGAAATTGATGTTGTTTGCAGATGACATGATTGTGTACATAAAATGTCTGTCTTAAAAAAAGAAAAGAAAAAGAAAAAATGTTAATGATACCATTTACCATAGTATCAACAAACATGAAATACCTAAGATTAAATCAAAAGAGCAATGTGGAAGACATCTACACAGAAAATGACAAAGTATTCATGAGAGAAATTTAAAAAGACCTAAATTAGTGGAAGGATAGACTATATTTGTGGGTTGAAAGACTTACTATTATAGAGATGTTGAATTTCCCAACAGTGTTCTACAGATTCAGTGTATACCCATTTGAAATCCCAATAGGTTTTTTTTAATATAATTTAATAAGCTGATTCTTAAGTTTAGAAAGAAAAGCAAAGGGCCAGTTAAGCAAGACAATCTTGAAGGAGAGCAAAGCTAGATGATTTAGGCTGCCAACTATCAAGACTAATTATAGGCCTGGTGTGGTGGCTCACACCTATCATCTTAGCACTTTGGGGAGGTGGGAGGATTGCTTGAGGTCAGGAGTTCGAGACCAGCCTGGGCAATATAGAGAGACTCCATCTCTACCAAAACTGAAAAAATAAAATAAAAAATTAGCCAGACATGGTGGTGCATGCCTGTAGCCCCAGCTACTCAGGAGGCTGAGGCAGGAGGCTCGCTTGAGCCCAAAAGTTTGAGGTTACAGTGAGCTATGATTGTGCCACTGCACTCTAGCCCAGGTGACAGAGTGAGATCCTATCTCAAAAAAAAAAAAAAAGACTATAAAGTTACAGTAAATCAAGTCAGCCTGAAATTAGCACAGAGAAGGACAACTGTTACTCTTGGAACAGGAGAGTCTAGTAACAGAAGCTCACAGATACAGTCTCTTGATTTATGACAAAGACAGCACTACTCTGCAGTGGGGAAAAGGAACTGGGTTAACCAGATAGCCATCTGGAAAAAGCTTCATTTTGACCCCTTTGGTAGGCAGAATCAGTAAAATGGCCCTGCAGAGATGTGCCCCCTAATCTCCAAGTCCTATGGCTATGATGACATATCCCTCTCATGATTATGCTAAGGTGGAGAGGAATGCACGGGGTTTCTCGGTAGGCAAGAGTCCCCAGCTAACAGGCAGCAAGGAAACAGGGACCTCAGTCTTAGAACCACAATGAACTGAATTCTGCCAACAACATGAATAAGTTTAGAAGCTGAATCTTTTCCAAACCTTCCAGATAAGAGCCAGCCTGGCTGACACCTTGATTTCAACCTTGTACTACCTTGAGGCGAGATCCCAGCTGAGCTCACATCTGACCTACAGGACTGTAAGCTAACAAATGGTGGTTGTTTTAAGCTGCCAGGTTTGTGGTCATTTGTAACACAGTAATTGAAAATGAATACAAGGCCGGGTGCAGTGGCTTGGAGGCTGAGGTGGGAGGATAGTTTGAGCCCAGGAGTTCGAGACCAGCCTGAGCAAGAGCGAGATCCCATCTCTACTAAAAATAGAAAGAAATGATCTGGACAACTAAAAATATATAGAAAAAATTAGCCGGGCATGGTGGCACATGCCTGTAGTCCCAGCTACTCAGGAAGCTGAGGCAGGAGGATTGCTTGAGCCCTTGAGTTTGAGGTTGCTGTGAGCTAGGCTGACACCACGGCACTCTAGCCCGGTCAACAGAGTGAGACTGTCTCAAAAAAAAAAAAAAGAAAATGAATACAACGCCATCT